GTGAACAAAAGTAGCCGAGGGACTTTTGAAGTAGAACGACCAAAAGAAAAGCAGAGGAGTTACCCGAACAAGTTAGCGAAACACTCTGAACTAAAGACCAAAGCCCTTCACATGCTGCTTCACTCGAAGACTGACCTCCATATAAGGCACCCCATGTCTAAACCAGACGCAGCTAGTAACTAATCTAAAGTTTTCCTGCAAGTATTAAACGTGACCTGGTCACAAAACCTAACATGGTAGTAGTTTTCAGATGGAAATGATCAGCTTACCGTTGCACTTTCAGCTTCGCCAGCTTTGTCACCACTCATGCATAGCGCGCTCCTTGTAACTGCACCATCTGCAATACTGACAATCATCCAGAATTGAATAAAATCATATAAAGAGTGCTGTAGTATGTCTATCTATTACTGAAATGTACTCTTTAAATGAGCTCAATGGAAAAGTTTTTAAGTTCTTAAAGACAGCTCCCGCGATAAAAGTGTCATGGATAGTTGCTTTTCAATTATGAAACAGTAGCTGATAAGTAATCCCCCAAAGAAGAAAAGCAAGAAGAGCAAGAACACCATAAACAAAATCGCTCCCTCACAGTCACACCTCCCTGCGGTCTCTGTGCAACCCCTAGCTCACAAATCTCTCTATCACATCTCGCAGTAGTTGATATCATCCAGTGAAAAGAAACAAAAAAACAAGAAACACAGAGGAAAAACTCTTGAAAAGAAAAAGAAACATTTCAAAAACTCGGCGTCCGAATTTAGGGTTACGGTAGCGTGCATGTTTTAGTGTAGTGAAGTGCGTCGAGCTTTTGCACCACGAAAATTGGGTCGCTCGTGATTTTTACGCGTTTTACCTTGCGAGATGGGTTGGAGTTGACTGTATGTGCTCCCAATGAATAAAATGTAATAAAGGAGAGCAGAATCATTCATGGGCACAAGCGCGGTCAGCAAAAAGGGCATGCGATTCCAATTAATGCCCGCCGCCCCAACAAAGAACAACTGAGCGGCCCTCCGTCAGAGGGCATCTAGCAAGTGGGCGGTCCAACTGGGCGGGCGTTAGAACTAGAACTTTCAGCGGCTGTAGCTCGCTGTGGAGTTGCGAGAGTGGGATAGTTTCTAGCTTGGGGGCTGCACTACTTGCGCAAGGAAGGACGACCATGTATACACTCCTTATCCCTGAGCCAGAGTAGGCGTGGCATTTGAACATGGCACGGAACTGGTTACTCGTGGAATATTCCAGTCTGGGACAACTGTCATCTTGTTCTGTGTTGGACAGAGACACGACAATTGTGTCAAGATGAAAATATCTCACCAGAAGCATAGACACCTTCAGGTTAAGTTGAAACAGGCCACGCCTACCCGATCTCAGGGATTTCGAGTATACTTGAGCGCGGGGGCTGTCTTTAACATGTTATGCAGTGGACTTCGGTACAGCTAACATCAGTAGTATGGACGGTAAGGGAACTTTCCGTGTAAGAATATTTTCCGAACAGAAATGTCCTAGATTTGAAAATATTGAATTGTAAGTTACTGAAAAGACTTATCATTCCCTCCCAGGTTTTGGTAATTGGTAAAAAACAAGATTTGAAATCAGGTCGGGGTTCAAACTGGCTAACACTCATCATGGAAGAGCAGAATGCCACCGCAGGGGTGCGTAAAAGGGATTAAACAGATTTTTACAGGGATATGGCAATGGGTACAAATGCCTTGAGAGCCCTGTCTTTTCCATGTGCTAGGTGAATGGGACCCCGGCTGCAAAAGCGTTCCACTTTCTCCGCTCAAAAGTGCACGCGACGCTGCCGGTGGATAGTGAGACCTGAGTACTGTCTGTCTCCATTGTCCATGCGCCCATTCATAACGTGCAGCGCCTGCGTTGGTACCAAAGTCCCCTGGCGAACACGGCTGCTCAGCGGTTTACAACATCCGAAAGTGAGAGAGCGCAGATCAGTAGTGCGTCTGGCTATGGTCAAGCATGTGGCTGGCGATGCGGCAGCGCGAAGTGGAGTGGGTGGGCGGCGCCCTAGTTTCACGACCCTCGACGTTTCCGTGCACTTTTGACCAAAGAAAGCGGTGCGCTACAACCGCTGCGGAACCATTACCCTCACGCCTGGCGAGGACCAGGAACCATTGAGGTGAAAGTACAGTTTGTAAGTGCATTGTAAAACTTCTAAATGCCTACATGTGTACGAGTTATCCCATCGATTCAGAGCGAAAACAAGGTTTTGGGCGACGGAGACAACGGTAGGTTGTGGAAGTTGCTGGAAAGTGTTGGCAGCCAAAAAGATGACAGGGCTGTTAGAGATGAATTTCATCAACATGCACAAATCGTCCTCACAGCGACGGAACATCAGTGGAGCCTAAAGAGGTAATTAAAAATTGTTTGTTTCCGAGAAAGGCATTGAATAAATAAGTAGGACTAAATTTATCGAGTACAAAATACCATAGTCATCACGGAATGCCGCGGTGGATGGGCTTCGGCCAACAGCTGGACAGGGGTCTGACCAAAAGAGGTGATTTGTTGTTGAATAGCTTCAAGCTGGGTGGCACTCTCGATAGACTTCAGGCAGACGGCACCTTCGTAGGTGAGGTAGTAGAAGACGTTCGTAGCACGAACCTTGAACAAATAATCTGTGTATGTAGAAGATTCTGCACTGTCTATGAGCAGATCAAGGTGTAGAAGTGAAATAAAGTCCTTGAGAAAAAACAGTGGAAACGAAGTCAAAAAGAACTGCGCTGGTAGAAAAAAAAACAGGATAAAGGATTCTTGCAAAAATACTCACTGCCTCAGGGCCCTTCTGCTTATAACCAAAGATGAGGTCGATCCACTGATTCAGCTGACAGCTCACCAGGTCACTTTCAAGAGCTTGTCGGTGAAGTAGAACGAACTCCTCAGGAGATGAGGCCCATTTTGGTAGCACAACGTCACCTATCTTAAAAAAAACGTTTGTCATTTAGAGGGCCACTTTGTGGGAAGCTATCTTCTCTTAATAGAAATTTTTCTTTTCAAGAAGAACCGCCACTACTTATGACCAAGCCGCTTCCCTACTCATCTTGAGCACGCACTACTGTTACGGTCGGCTCATTTTCTTGATTCTCCCATAATGAATGAAAAAAGCAGCTATTATGGGGACAATTTTAAACGTCACGGTCTCTTACAGATAGCTCAATCTATCTACAGAAAATGATCTGCAACAACTAAAACGTTTGTTCTTAATGAAAGAGTGATATCCTGCATAAAGACCAAGATAAAAAAGAGCACTTGATGTCGTTTCGTTCACTTTTCCGTTCCCTGGTGTGCGTCACGCACTCATCCTCCATGTGAATGCGAATTGGTCTATGCACTAACCTGAGGGGAACAATCGATGCGAGTCAGTGTTTTG